CCAAGTTCGCTTCAGCTTGAGGTCACGAACAGATGGCTGGACATTCTCCTTCAGGATTTTTTGGTCTTGTCTTCCAGGTCCTGAAGCAGCAAAACAGCCCCAGACCATCACAGTACCACCACCATATTTTACTGTTGGTTGATGTTCTTTTTCTGAAATGCAGTGTTACTTTTACGGCAGACGTAATGGGACACACACCTTCCAGAAAGTTCAACTTTTGTCTCGTCAGTCCACGGAGTATTTTCCCAAAAGTCTTGGGGGTCATCAAGATGTTTTCTGGCAAAACTGAGATGAGCCTTTATGTTCTTTTTGCTCAGCAGTGGTTTTCGTCTTGGAACTCTGCCATGCAGACCATTTTTGCCCAGTCTCTTTCTTATGGTGGAGTCATGAACACTGACCTTAACTGAGGCAAGTGAGGCCTGCAGTTCTTTGGATGTTGTTGTGGGGTCTTTTGTGACCTCTTGGATGAGTCGTCGCTGTGCTCTTGGGGTAATTTTGGTCGGCCGGCCACTCCTGGGAAAGTTCTCCACTGTTCCATGTTTTTGCCATTTGTGAATAATGGCTCTCACTGTGGTTCGCTGGAGTCCCAAAGCTTTAGAAATGGCTTTATAACCTTTTCCAGACTGATAGATCTTAATTACTTTCTTTCTCATTTGTTTCTGAATTTCTTTGGATCTCGGCATGATGTCTAGCTTTTGAGGATCTTTTGGTCTACTTCACTTTGTCAGGCAGGTCCTATTTAAGAGATTTCTTGATTGCGAACAGGTGTGGCAGTAATCAGGCCTGGGTGTGGCTAGAGAAATTGAACTCAGGTGTGATAAACCACAGTTTTAACAGGAGGGCAAACACTTCTTCACACAGGGCCATGTAGTTTTGGATTTTGTTTTCCCTTAATAATAAAAACCTTCATTTAAAAACTGCATGTTGTGTTCACTTGTGTTATCTTTGACTAATATTTAAATTTGTTTGATGATCTGAAACATTAAAGTGTGACAAACATGCAAAAAAATAAGAAATCAGGAAGGGGGCCAACACTTTTTCACACCACTGTATATATAAACACAATTTAAATCGATCTGCAAAATAAATATTTTTTTCTATATTCTTCACAGCAGCATTGATACTATTATTCCTGACACTTGCAGAAGAATGAATTAGAGTAAAATGTGGGAAATTACATGTTCAAAATGCTTAAATATTTGAAATGCAATCAATTTAATCCTAAAGAACAGAGGAAAATAAGTGGAAAAATTACTTAACATATATCTAAGTTATGACCCCTATAGACTAAAAATACTTGTTGTTCCTCTCTGCTTTTTATTTAGTCTTTTTCTGTCTCTTGTTTTATCTCCAGCCTCTAACTGATTCCGTTAATTATGTCTTCGTAGTATTAACTGAATTAGCATGTACCAAAATTAGATTAGGAATCTCAAAATAATTACAAAATCACATTAACTACCAGATTGAAGCATTCATTTTACAAATGTGCTACTTTATGTGGCAGATTCTTCTTATTTAAAGACAGTTGTACAATTATATGCAGGAAGTTCCGCTTTGCTTGCTACATAGTGATCTCAGCAACACTTGAACACAACAAGGATGATTTTAAATCATTCTTACTTTATTTTTAGCGGTTTAGATGAATCATCATAGATGTGGAGTTAATTAAGACTGACTGTAATAGATCTATCCTGTCCTTATGCAGCGTTCTTATACTGGGAGGATCAGGAGGAGTGGGAACCTTAGCTATACAGGTGATAATAATGATAAAGGTTTGCCTTTTCCATTTTGCGTAATCATTTTACAAAAACGTTGGAGTCACATTACAAATGATCTCTTGTATTTCATCTCCTTAATGAGTAATAAAACACGTAATCATCTGTGTGTACGTGACATGTTTATTAAGTTTTTGCTTCTCTGCAGATTGTAAAGGCCTGGGGTGCCCATGTGACTGTAACATGTTCCCAGAATGCCGAGCGTCTGGTGAGAGATCTGGGTGCTGATGGTGTCGTGGACTACACTGCTGGACCAGTCGAAAAACAACTACAGACATTACAAAAGTTAGTTTTGGGGCGACCAGTTTGTGACTTTTTTGTTGAACTTGTGATTGACATTGAGTTTATTTCTCTCTCTCTCTCAGGTTTGATTTGATTTTAGACAATATTGGGGGTGAAACTGAGAAATGGGCACTAGATCTTCTGAAACCCTGGAATGGAGCTAAATACGTTACTCTAGTAACACCGTTCCTGCATAACACAGACCGACTGGGCCTCGCAGACGGTATGATGCAGTCTGGAGTCACCATAGGATGCAAAGTGCTAAAGGTAGGGACTTCCCTTCCATGTGCTGAGGAAGAAAAAGTGAGTTTCTTCTGCCACAGAGGCTGAAACCCCTCTTATTTAATGGTTTATGTGTTTATAACCATGTGTGGGTGAATTAGCAGCATGTATGAATCACTTAAGTGTTTCTCTTAAAAATAATAGATGAAAGTAAGTGGAGTTCCTCTCACCCTACAAACCAGATTTTTCTGTACTGTCTGACTATCAGAAGCCAGACCTGAGAAGCGGTTGTAAATGGAGATGCCGCTGAGTTTATATATACAATACTGGTCAAAAGTTTGGGGATTTTTAAATGTTTTTGAAATAAGTGTCTTATGTTCAGCAAGGCTGCATGTAATTGATCAAAAGTACAGTAATACTATGAAATATTATTACAAATTTCAATTTAAAAATATTTTAAAGTGTAATCTGAAATTTCAGCAGCCATTACTCCAGTTGTTAGTGTTACATGAGCCTTCAGAAATGATTGTAATATGCTCAAGAAACATTTCTTATAATCATCAATGTTGAAAACAGTTGTGCTGCTTAATATTTTTGTGGAAACTGTGACAATTTGTAAAGGATTTTTTGATGAATAGAAAGCTAAAAAGAACAGCATTTGTTTAAAATTATTTATTTCTTTTAAATGTCTTTACTGTTTCTTTTGATCAATTTAATGTACCCCTGCTGAATAAAAGTATTCTTTCAAAAAATCTGTAGTACTGGTCCTAAACTTACTAACCCCTTTGTAGATCTTTTTGTTTTGTTTTGTTTTTTTGTGGTTTCTCAGAGCACTCTTCTTGGCAGTTGTTGGGAGTTTTTGCAGGAAATCCACACTGGTCCCTTTTTTCTGACATTAAATCAACACGCAAATGCCTTGTATTCATAGTAGCCTAGTACAGTACAAACATTTAAGTTTTGCATATGTATTTATGATGTAAATTCTTCTATTTTGTTCAATATCTAGCAAAATCCTGAAACTTTCCACATTTGAATTAGATTATAAGTCCCAGGTGCCATTTGAACACATATTCACAGTTACTCTCATGGGACACAATTTCACATAAAGTCATGAGCAGTGATCTCACTGCAGCTGCTGATGACCCAGTAAATGGCTGAACATTTCATGATCAAACACACTTTCTTTTCATAGCCATGACCCACCTTTTTCATTGCTTTACACCACCCTGTCCTGTGGCAAATAGGGACAGAATAAACGATTTATTGAATGTATATACTGATCCAGAATGGATGAAGGTAGAACGAAAGAAATGAAATCAAGAAGTGTCGGGAACCTAAACCTGATCGCCTGACACTGTTTCACTCTTTTGTGGAGGTAGAAGGTTGATCAGTACTAACGCTCTCTCTCTCTCTCTCTTTCTCAGCACCTCAGGAAAGGAGTGCACTACCGCTGGGGTTTCTTTGCTCCAAGCGGCCCCACGCTGGATGAGATTAGCGAAATGGTTGCCGAGCGTCTGGTGAGAGATCTGGGTGCTGATGGTGTCGTGGACTACACTGCTGGACCAGTCGAAAAACAACTACAGACATTACAAAAGTTAGTTTTGGGGCGACCAGTTTGTGACTTTTTTGTTGAACTTGTGATTGACATTGAGTTTATTTCTCTCTCTCTCTCAGGTTTGATTTGATTTTAGACAATATTGGGGGTGAAACTGAGAAATGGGCACTAGATCTTCTGAAACCCTGGAATGGAGCTAAATACGTTACTCTAGTAACACCGTTCCTGCATAACACAGACCGACTGGGCCTCGCAGACGGTATGATGCAGTCTGGAGTCACCATAGGATGCAAAGTGCTAAAGGTAGGGACTTCCCTTCCATGTGCTGAGGAAGAAAAAGTGAGTTTCTTCTGCCACAGAGGCTGAAACCCCTCTTATTTAATGGTTTATGTGTTTATAACCATGTGTGGGTGAATTAGCAGCATGTATGAATCACTTAAGTGTTTCTCTTAAAAATAATAGATGAAAGTAAGTGGAGTTCCTCTCACCCTACAAACCAGATTTTTCTGTACTGTCTGACTATCAGAAGCCAGACCTGAGAAGCGGTTGTAAATGGAGATGCCGCTGAGTTTATATATACAATACTGGTCAAAAGTTTGGGGATTTTTAAATGTTTTTGAAATAAGTGTCTTATGTTCAGCAAGGCTGCATGTAATTGATCAAAAGTACAGTAATACTATGAAATATTATTACAAATTTCAATTTAAAAATATTTTAAAGTGTAATCTGAAATTTCAGCAGCCATTACTCCAGTTGTTAGTGTTACATGAGCCTTCAGAAATGATTGTAATATGCTCAAGAAACATTTCTTATAATCATCAATGTTGAAAACAGTTGTGCTGCTTAATATTTTTGTGGAAACTGTGACAATTTGTAAAGGATTTTTTGATGAATAGAAAGCTAAAAAGAACAGCATTTGTTTAAAATTATTTATTTCTTTTAAATGTCTTTACTGTTTCTTTTGATCAATTTAATGTACCCCTGCTGAATAAAAGTATTCTTTCAAAAAATCTGTAGTACTGGTCCTAAACTTACTAACCCCTTTGTAGATCTTTTTGTTTTGTTTTGTTTTTTTGTGGTTTCTCAGAGCACTCTTCTTGGCAGTTGTTGGGAGTTTTTGCAGGAAATCCACACTGGTCCCTTTTTTCTGACATTAAATCAACACGCAAATGCCTTGTATTCATAGTAGCCTAGTACAGTACAAACATTTAAGTTTTGCATATGTATTTATGATGTAAATTCTTCTATTTTGTTCAATATCTAGCAAAATCCTGAAACTTTCCACATTTGAATTAGATTATAAGTCCCAGGTGCCATTTGAACACATATTCACAGTTACTCTCATGGGACACAATTTCACATAAAGTCATGAGCAGTGATCTCACTGCAGCTGCTGATGACCCAGTAAATGGCTGAACATTTCATGATCAAACACACTTTCTTTTCATAGCCATGACCCACCTTTTTCATTGCTTTACACCACCCTGTCCTGTGGCAAATAGGGACAGAATAAACGATTTATTGAATGTATATACTGATCCAGAATGGATGAAGGTAGAACGAAAGAAATGAAATCAAGAAGTGTCGGGAACCTAAACCTGATCGCCTGACACTGTTTCACTCTTTTGTGGAGGTAGAAGGTTGATCAGTACTAACGCTCTCTCTCTCTCTCTCTTTCTCAGCACCTCAGGAAAGGAGTGCACTACCGCTGGGGTTTCTTTGCTCCAAGCGGCCCCACGCTGGATGAGATTAGCGAAATGGTTGATGCCGGAAAGGTACAGCAGCCTGAGTGTGTCTGATGTGTGTGAGAGACTCTTTCTCTTCAGCTGCTATACATGATTCTCAGTTTTGGCACTTTGGGTTGTTCGCACCAACAGTGATTCCTTATCAAAACAGAATGACATCTTATCTTTACCAGCAATACAATATATCTGTGATCACATTTGCACATTTACTTGTGGCTCTGCGTCTTTTGCTGTTTCTTAGAATGCAGAAACGAGACAGAACAGTTATTATGAACTTGTGTTATGACAACTTGTCTGCTTCATGGTGGGAACAACAGTATGAAGACTTGCTAACCTTATGATAGCCATCAGATGTTGCAGATAACAGACAGATACACAAGACAAACACGTCATTGAAAGAGTGTGATCTGTGTGATTTGTGAATTTAATATCAGATATTTCAGAAAAGCAAGAAACCATATGAAAAAGTTAAAAGTTAATATTTGATTTGAATATATCCTTTATACTTTAATGTTAAACAGCATGTAAGGGAGCTTTTATATAATGGTAAGCAGAAAAAGTTTTGACATTTACATATATTCACAGTTAAAAAATAACAGTGAAACATTACAGCAGTGCAGCAGGCAGGAAATGTATCTTATCTTGTTTCCTTTAAAGCATGTGCTCTTACGCCTGCATGTCCTGTGTGTTTGCTAACCAGCTTTGAGTGTGTTTCCGTTTGTTTTGAGAAGATATTCACGATAATACAATGATAATAAAATGTTTCATATTTTATGACAACGTTTGGCCAGACTTCAGTTAACCCTGTTGGAAGTCTAATGTATTCATTTATATTCGTATTAGTGCTACTATCACTTCAGATTGTAGATATTAAAATCATAATCAGCTGACATTTGATAAGGAGTTCAGATCACATGTTTCCTCAAGACACTGTAAACAGTACATTTACCATGAAGGTAACATGAACTCATTACAGATACAGTCAAAGCATAACTTCTTGTGTGAAGTTCTTGTGTGGGTCAAACCAGCATCGTCTTGTTTACCAGCTCAGAGTTTTAACCACAACACAGCTAACCTACTATACACCCGCCACCCACTTCTGCACAACCGAATGCATTGCATGCGCATATTAAAAGTTGATACCCATTTGGATGAGATTACCATACCAATGAGTCATCACATTAAACTGCAGGCATTATTCAGGTCCTCCCAGGACGTCGCATTTCAGTTCTAATATTTGTGTTCTGTTTTGTTGTTGTAGGTCCGTCCTGTGGTGGAGGAAGTGTTCTCATTTGCTCAAGTGCCCCAAGTCTTTCAGAAAGTAGAGCAGGGTCATGCTCGTGGCAAAACTGTGGTTTCCGTCATTGAGGACCAAAAAGAGTAACTACCTACAGTATGACAACCAAAAACATATGCCAGGACTTTTTTGAAATTGTCTGATGAATTAAAAATATTAACCTAATGGCAAATGTCTTTATTTTGCATTACAAAATTAGCTGACATGTCCCATTCATTATTTGAAATACATTACTGTAATATGCATAAACAACTTGAAAAGTCAAAACAAACAAACAGAATAAAAAAAAAGTTTTATTCTAAATGTAACAGTATATTTTGGAAATATGGGCATGGACACACAAAAACAACTACCAAAAAATCTTTGTAAAAGAAAACAGAGAGAAAAAGCTCTAAAAGCAGAACAGCAGATCAAGGATCAGCTGGATTTCAAATGAATGCGAGTTTGTGAACATGAGTGAACTGATGCCAGATCAGCACAGCTAGGCGGAAATGTTTCTATAATGTTCTAATATGTGCTTACTTACTCCAGAATATTCTGACATACTAAAGAAATACTTTGTTCAGCAACTGTAAAATTGTAGGAGTCAACAAGTTCCCACATTTTGCTTTCAGCGAGTTTGAATGGCAGATGAATAGATGCTGCCTTACATTCAGTGAGGTCTATAATACCCGTTTGTTTTCTCATTCATCTGAACAGCAGTTGCTCATCTGGTGAAGGAACTCTTGGAAGTATGCAATTTAAAATGTGCAGTTTTTTCTCACGAGTGCTTAGTTCTGCAGCCAAGAGTGTGATCTGTGTGATTTGTGAATTTAATATCAGATATTTCAGAAAAGCAAGAAACCATATGAAAAAGTTAAAAGTTAATATTTGATTTGAATATATCCTTTATACTTTAATGTTAAACAGCATGTAAGGGAGCTTTTATATAATGGTAAGCAGAAAAAGTTTTGACATTTACATATATTCACAGTTAAAAAATAACAGTGAAACATTACAGCAGTGCAGCAGGCAGGAAATGTATCTTATCTTGTTTCCTTTAAAGCATGTGCTCTTACGCCTGCATGTCCTGTGTGTTTGCTAACCAGCTTTGAGTGTGTTTCCGTTTGTTTTGAGAAGATATTCACGATAATACAATGATAATAAAATGTTTCATATTTTATGACAACGTTTGGCCAGACTTCAGTTAACCCTGTTGGAAGTCTAATGTATTCATTTATATTCGTATTAGTGCTACTATCACTTCAGATTGTAGATATTAAAATCATAATCAGCTGACATTTGATAAGGAGTTCAGATCACATGTTTCCTCAAGACACTGTAAACAGTACATTTACCATGAAGGTAACATGAACTCATTACAGATACAGTCAAAGCATAACTTCTTGTGTGAAGTTCTTGTGTGGGTCAAACCAGCATCGTCTTGTTTACCAGCTCAGAGTTTTAACCACAACACAGCTAACCTACTATACACCCGCCACCCACTTCTGCACAACCGAATGCATTGCATGCGCATATTAAAAGTTGATACCCATTTGGATGAGATTACCATACCAATGAGTCATCACATTAAACTGCAGGCATTATTCAGGTCCTCCCAGGACGTCGCATTTCAGTTCTAATATTTGTGTTCTGTTTTGTTGTTGTAGGTCCGTCCTGTGGTGGAGGAAGTGTTCTCATTTGCTCAAGTGCCCCAAGTCTTTCAGAAAGTAGAGCAGGGTCATGCTCGTGGCAAAACTGTGGTTTCCGTCATTGAGGACCAAAAAGAGTAACTACCTACAGTATGACAACCAAAAACATATGCCAGGACTTTTTTGAAATTGTCTGATGAATTAAAAATATTAACCTAATGGCAAATGTCTTTATTTTGCATTACAAAATTAGCTGACATGTCCCATTCATTATTTGAAATACATTACTGTAATATGCATAAACAACTTGAAAAGTCAAAACAAACAAACAGAATAAAAAAAAAGTTTTATTCTAAATGTAACAGTATATTTTGGAAATATGGGCATGGACACACAAAAACTAAAACAGATTACTAAACGCATCAGAAAATGGACACACACGCACAAAAACAACTACCAAAAAATCTTTGTAAAAGAAAACAGAGAGAAAAAGCTCTAAAAGCAGAACAGCAGATCAAGGATCAGCTGGATTTCAAATGAATGCGAGTTTGTGAACATGAGTGAACTGATGCCAGATCAGCACAGCTAGGCGGAAATGTTTCTATAATGTTCTAATATGTGCTTACTTACTCCAGAATATTCTGACATACTAAAGAAATACTTTGTTCAGCAACTGTAAAATTGTAGGAGTCAACAAGTTCCCACATTTTGCTTTCAGCGAGTTTGAATGGCAGATGAATAGATGCTGCCTTACATTCAGTGAGGTCTATAATACCCGTTTGTTTTCTCATTCATCTGAACAGCAGTTGCTCATCTGGTGAAGGAACTCTTGGAAGTATGCAATTTAAAATGTGCAGTTTTTTCTCACGAGTGCTTAGTTCTGCAGCCAGGTTGCTTTGAGCCAATCATCTGAGATATTAATGTGATTAATTACTCTGGAGCCACAAGAAAATAATGTCTTGACTGCTGATGGCACCACAAGAACATGCACAAGCCCTTTACTAGCGACCATCCTGAGATGTGACATGAAAGGCTACAGACAAGAAAAAGCCTATTTCAAGCTATCAGGAGCCATTAAGATTTTAAGGCACTAGTAAAACGTCTACTAGTCTAAGTACTATTAGTATACGACTATACTAAGTATCCATGATTTAGATATTTTTTTGCAAAAAAATAATTTAGTCAGAATACACAGCTACTTATAAATGGAAGAAGGTGCTTTTTGCCCCTAAAAAGTGTAGTTATGACAGGCAAGGGGTAAACTGGGACATACTAACCTTGACTCTTTGCTGAAAATGAACAAGGTCACCTAAAGTGCAGCTACATGCAAATCCTGATGCTAGTGCGCCCCCTTTGGTACTGTTATTGCATTGCAAGCAAGACAGTACTTTGTGTTTCTGGGCCAATGCAGTTAACAACAAAAAAGTACTAGCACAAAAGATGAAACTACTGTAGCAGGTCTCATTAAGGTCCTTGATGTAGTCAATGGACTTCTGTTGAACATCCAAAGATACATCACTCATGTAGACAACTGTAATCTAGATGCATGATTTCAAAAGATTTGGTCCCACACACATTCTTATCTCGGGATAATGATCCCATCAGTGACAGAGACTCATCAGAGTCATTTATGGCGTTACAGAAATGCCTCTGATTTGACTGGAGCACTAAAGGATTTCCACAGTCCATCTCTGGTTGGTTTTCTGCTCATCAAAGGTGTTGAGAACCACCTGGTTTTTATCATACTGTTGGCCACCTAGATGAAGAACAGATTAAGAAGGTCAAATTCCTTTTGATTTCAACAGGCTCTTTGGGTTTAAATTACACTTCCATTTAAAAGTTTGGATTCCGACTTTTTTACAGAAATTTATATTTTTATTCGGCAAGGAAGCATTAAATTGATCAAAGTTGACAGAAGAGACATTTATGTTACAAAAGATTGCCATTCCAAATAAAAGCTGAACATTCTAATAATAGTAAGAAATCTTTCTTGCGCACCAACTCAGCATAATTAGAATGATTTCTGAAGAATCATGTGACACTGAGGACTGGAGTAATGGCTGCTGAAAATTCAGCTTTGCATCAAAGCGTTGATACAAATTGCATTTTAAAATATATTTAAATAAAAAACTGTTACTTGAAAGTGTAATAATCTTACACAATGTTACTGTTTTACTGTATTTTTTTAATCAAATAAAAGCAAATAAAGGTAGGCAGACAGGGTGTAACACATTAAGTGGCCACGAGATGGCAACACATTACAGGTTCTGCTGTGCTGACTGACGTCAGGGTGGCGCTCAAGTTACAGAAATTTGAACCACAAACAGACTCATTCTGAATTCAGACAAACAAAAGAAGCCATACAGCAGTGGTCTTTTGTCAGAGATTGTTGTCACAGTCCAAATAAATAATTTACCCTTGATTCCACTGATCTCCTGCTTTACACGTAAAAATACATTTTCAATCTGTTCCCTTAAAAAAATCTGACCAATGAATGAATGTTCCAGTTGTTTGTGGTGGCTAGTTAAATTTAAAACTACATTTTGTAAAGATGCCACTCACAAAGAGTAATTTCTAGTTAAAGAAAAACGTTAACTCATTTTGACCATAAAACCCCTCTAAATGCTATTTTTTATCATATAATTTAATTATATTACCATATTGGCCCGAATATAAGATGACCCTGATTATAAGACGACCCCCCTTTTTCCAGATGTACCTTTTGGAAAAAGGCTTTTTAAAAACCAAATCTTGTTTTTTTTCAGTAAAACACATTTTGTCTTCAATTATTTTCATATTGCATATTTTTCCTAGTTTAATTTTTGTTTTGAAAGTATGGTAAAAACTGGTAAAATGTACCAACAATCACATTTAAAAAATATACACTTTTTGATATACCATTAAAAAAACAAAACAAAAACAGGTAGCCCATCTGAATTAGTACATTTAGGCTATCCATCTAATAGTAGCCTACCAAAATCTTATTAACAGTAGAAGTTAAATCTTACTGTAGTCGTCAAATCTGGGTACTGTCTTACGTTTTAAAATCACAAAGGGAGTTTGGTCCCATCAGGCTAACGTGACAGTCACGACTCATGCAGCTATAAGCTTTTCTTATTCTTTTGTTTTTACTCGCGATCTTTACAACACGCATTACATTACGTATTTCATGGCACACTCGTTTTATGCGTATTTGGCGCCACCTATTGTTGTGGGTGTATTATTGACATGTCAAAGTCTAGACCCTGAATATAAGACGACCGCGTTTTTTCAGATGTATTTCCAAGAAAAAAACATCGTCTTATATTCGGGTCAATACGGTAATATTTTATTAGAATAGTTTGTGGAATATTATTAGCATTTAGTTAATATTCAGTTGAGTGTTAAATGCTAGCCCCTTCATCTGTAATACAGATTCAGACACATCTTTGCCTCTGACAGGATGCTGTGGTATGTATGTAGGGCGGCAGTGCGGTTGCCCGAGCAGATCGAGCGCAGTTGCTAATAGAAATACCACACAGGTATGATGTGACA